AGTATTCTAGGTAGCTGTGGGAGTCGGTGGGCTTGAAATGAATATCGCCTCCCTAACCTGTTCTTCCTCCCACCTATCCCCTCCTCCCACCTCAAGCCGCACCTCCATCTCCTACCGACCAACCTCATCCCGCCCCCTTGACCTGTCCGTCCTCCCTGGACTGACCTATCCCCTTCCTAACTCCCTACCTACACTCACCTTTACTGGCTCCATCCCCGCCTCTTCGACCTGTTTGTTTCCTCTCCTCTATCCCTCTTCTATCCGCCTCCCACTCTCTCCCTATTTATTTCAAAACCCCCTTCCCCTCCCCCTTTTCTGATGAAGGGTCTGGGCCCGAAACGTCAGCCTCTCTGCTCCTATGATGCTGCTTGGCCTGCTGTGTTCGTCCAGCCCTGCACCTTGTTGTCTCGGATTCTCCAGCATCTGCAGTTCCTACTATCTCTGATTCAATTTTAACCTCCCTCAACCATTATCTGTAACAGACCAGACCCTTATTCCCATACATTCCCTGAGTTAATGTGCCTTATCTTTAAGACCTCGTACATTGAAATAAATGCAGTATAATTCTTCAGAGTTACCTTGTTCTCTGACTTGCTCTTGCCTGCCTTTTCTAATTGTTCTTTTTTAATTCAGAACAACCCTCATCTCTCTTTCTATTCCCACTACTACTTAGGATCCTCCCACCCTCACCCCCTACTAATTTAAAGGCTCCTGAATAGTACTGGCAAATCTCCCCACCAGGATATTGGTCCCTTTCCAGCTCAGGTGAAACCCGTCCCTTTTGTATAGGTCTTATCTGTCCCAGAGAGATCCCAATGATCCAAAAATCCGAATCCTTGCCCACTGCACCACCTCATCAGTCATTGATTTATCTGCCCTATCTGCTTATTCCTATTCTCACGAGCATGTGGTACCGGGAGTAATCTACCTAACTTCCTATATTCACTCTGCAAAGCCTCAACCCTTCCCTTATTCTTATTGGCTCAGCTGCTGAAAACAATTTCCTGAATTTATAATTTTAACACAGGTTGTTGTAGTAAAGCATCTCAAATATAGCTCTGAACTTAAACAAAGCTGTTTTCCCCAAAATAATTATATTTTTAAAATGCACTGTGGACATCTGCTGCTTTGCAATTTACTATATGACCCCTATTATAACTTGTGAATTCTGAATATTATAGGAAACTGACTTTCCACTGCCCCAAAACCCCCAAGTAACATTGTAAGATTACATAAGAACATTTATAACATGTTCAACTGCTGAGGTGATTAAGACTTGAAGCAAAGCAATGAAATTTAAACAGCTCAAGGCCCCCAAAGCCGGCAACAAATAGGTTTGAATACTCACAGTAACCATTTGTGAATGAGACAAATTAAAAATTCCAGTTTGAATTTTATGATTTAAGGGCTTCTAGAGCACTTTTGAGTCACTATAATCCTTTAGAAAAGCACATTTATCTGCACTCGACCTTGCTTTATTTTGCACTTCGTTTAACAATACTCAATTTGTAGATTTAAAATAAATCAGAATTAAAGAGAATAACAGAATAGAAATGTTTAAGTATTACATAATATCACAAATTGTGCACAATGTCCTAATTTGAATGATTATGCTAATTTTATTTAGTAGTATTGAAGTTTTACAAAACTAGAAATATTTATTTCAGTTAATGTTACGTATAATAATGCTACGATTAAAGAAATTGACTATCATATAATGGAATGAATGAGAAAAAAAATACTGTGAATAGTTAAACACTTAAAATAAATATGACAGCTCACGTCTTGCCGCTAAACACTAATGTGTTTAGCAGCAGGAGGATTTAATATATGTATCTGAAGATATTAACAATGTCAGATGTACGAGAATGAACCTGTCAGCTCCCTGTTTGCTTCTGCTCTTTTAATGAAATCAGCTTTTAAAAAAGCACGACGTAAATGTTACGAATCCAACCCCGTGATCTCAGGGTTTGATTTAAGAGGCAGACTAGGCTGTTTTAATAGGGGGAACAAACTACTTCACTGAAAAAAAAAGTTGGGGGAATGCAAGAAAGAAATCCAGAGGTAAAATCAAGCGAACGGAGTGACTGACTGTTGGTTCAATTTTGCAATTAATTAACATTGAAGTTTCACAACTGAACTTTATTTTCGGGGTTTTAAATTGGTATCATCAATCGGTAAGTAAACATTTAAGAGTATTGTAATGCCTAAGAGAAAATTTTAATTTTTCAAGATTTAGAATCACCAGACTTCCCTGACTGTTAGTGGTTTTTTTTTCAAAAGTTGCGCGGCGTTGCAATCCTGAGGTACTGTGTCAAAAGACTCAGTTCAGAAATGAATAAATTCCAAATACCACGGGAGTGAACGTTTCAAGTGAGCGAACTGAGAGATCTTACGATCACGTTTTAATATTATGTGTGAAGATACACGGGAGTGAGAATTTTGGGTGACTGGGAGGTTTTGGTCGCTTCCCATGCAGTTTCGGACAACAAGGCATCTTTCTCTTACCCCTCCTGCTTAACACATCCGAGGAGACTGTAAAGCTACAACGATGAAGCAGTTTTACCTGAAGATCTTTTTCTCCTGCTTCTTGCATTCACATGTCTTCATCTCTTCATAACCTATCCCCAACCCTCAGATTGGCCATTTTCTCTCCATGATGCCCGCATCTTCCCGGTTCTCGTTGTTTACGGAGGCCGTTCCCGAGCCTTACATTCGCAGGAATTGCTTCTATTTTCTCCGTTCTTTCAAATCCCTGGAGGAGCACGGACCTCGGAAAGATTACTTCCCATTTCCAGTACGCTGACGACCAGGTTTCTTCCCGATTTTACCACGGTTTTGCCCCACTCTCTCCCTTCCTGCCATCTAACTCGCCCACCAAACCGTCTCCCAACTTTCCTACTATCTATCCTGCCGTCCGCCCGCACCCCACCACATGTCCTCCAGTCCTCGGCGGTTCGGAATATATTTTCATTAATTCTTCGAAATTGCTAATATTTCTCGCAGCTACTTTGTAATTTAAAAAACAGTTTCTGGAATACTGTACATTTCCTGGGCTTGCTCAGTCTTGAAATATAATTATTCTAAAATGTTTTGTTGCTCTTAGAGTTCTTATTACCCCATTCCATAATCCTAACATGCAAGATCCTCAACTGCATTTTTTTAAAACAAAGTCTCTTCAGCTTCTGCAGCCAGTGGATAGTTTGCAAAACATATTTCTGGTTCCTGGCGATGCCTTTCTGCTGTTTGAGAGTTTGCTTGATCAGACTTTTCTTTCAGCGCGTCTTTTCTGAATTGATAAACTTTTCCATACTTTCATGTTGGCACCCTATAATGTACAGCACCTGTTCTGTTTCCCCTTTCTCCCAAGATGACATTGGGAAAATTTTCCCATAACAAATTATTTTCTCAATTCTTTGATTTTCCACAAAACGATTATCTATTATTGCCCTCTCTTCCCAAAGTTCCTGCTTTCTGAATTGATTCTTGATGTCACTTTCCTCCATTTCCCATTCCTTGAAGTGCTTGGGAATTATTTTTCCTACGTCCAATTTCTCGCCCATTTCCTTAAAAGATCCTTCGAATTATCCCACAACTCCCCATTCCCCTTGGGCGAATTTTAGGAAGATTCGATCTCTGCTCTTTTCCTAATTTTCAGTGCACTGCAAATAATATTATCGGGATTTTCATTATTTTGTGTGTCTCTGGGACTGATACCATCGTTTTCGAGCTGCCTTTTCGTTCCTGGAAACGGGCATTACCCGCGCCACAAGCATCCCAGTCCATCCCGCGCTCCCAACGGTCACGCTCGCGCCCGTCCCGCGCTCCAAACGGTCACGCTCGCGCCCGTCCCGCGCTCCAAACGGTGACGTTTGCTTGCGGGCGAGACGTGCGACAAAAAAGTCACGTGATCGCACCTCGCCTGCTACCATCTACAAAACGCAAAGCTAGTTTACTCTTCTTCGAAGCCTGTGTCCCTCCCTCCTCCTTCTGCAGACTGAAACACCCCCATCAGTTATTCTATCTAAAACAGGAATTTGAAAGTCGAAGCACAGTTTCAACAAGGATTGGATTAGACTAGACCAAACCAAATTCACCTCTTCCTATTGGGCTTCAAAGAGGGCGGAATTAGAACAGTATAGCACAGTACTTCTGGTCTAGTCTAATCCAATCCTTGTTGAAACTGTGCTTCGACTTTCAAATTCCTGTTTTAGATAGAATAACTGATGGGGGTGTTTCAGTCTGCAGAAGGAGGAGGGAGGGACACAGGCTTCGAAGAAGAGTAAACTAGCTTTGCGTTTTGTAAATGGTAGCAGGCGAGGTGCGTTCACGTGATTTTTTTGGAGCGTTTTTTCTCCATTACTGGTAGATTTTTATTGAAAGGGAAACTGTAATGTGCGTCTTTTTTAGTTTATAGTATCAGTTCAACTACGTAAGTTACTGCTGGTTTCTTCCACTGGTTAAGATAGAGTCCATTTCCTTCATTGGCTGGGTCAAAATCCTGGAATGCCCTTTCTAACACGTCCCTGGAAGGGTCTAGGCCCGAAACGTCAGCCTTTATGCTCCTATGATGCTGCTTGGCCTGCTGTGTTCATCCAGCTCTGCAACTTGTTGTCTCACACCACAAGGATTGCAGCTTTCAAAAAGGGAGGTGATGGTTTAACGGTGTAACAGCTAGACTGTTGATCCAGATTTGAATTCCACCATGGTGGAATTTGAATTCAATTTTAAAAATCTGGAATTAAGAGTCTAATAATGTCCATAAAATTATTGTGAGTTCTCCAGAACAACCAACCTTGTTCACTGGTGTCCTTTTGGGGAGGAAATTGACATTATTACCTGTCTGACCTGCATGTGACTCCAGACCCACATCAATGTGATTGACTGTTAACTGCCCTCTAAGCAATTAGGAAAGGGCAATAAATGCTGTCTAGAACAGCAGCACTCACACCCTGTAAATGAACAAAAGAAAGGCAGCTCACCACCATCTCATCCAGGGATGGACAATAAATTTTGGCACAGCCAGTGTCACTTACATCCCATGCACAAAAAAAATCTTACATTGTCACCTTAGCAAATGCCTGCCATTAACTTTCCTTCATAAAATATAATTACAATCCTATTTCTTATTTTTCAAGTGTACAATTGTAATTTTTTTTTCTTCTTGTACTGCCACTGAGATGGTAAATCTCAGATTGATCCCTGATCCATGTATTTTGAGTTTTGAAGTTAACTAAGTGATAAATGGCACCCACATCTTAGGATATATTGATTAAGGCTTAGCAGTTAGCATTGAAGCTGCTGTGGACACCACAATTCTCACTAAATATATCATTTAATTTGTATTCTAGTTTTTCTGTTTGAATACTTTTTTCAGCTTGTTCACTGTCTTTCTGTTCATTGAATAAACTCTTTCAATATTTATGAAGTGTGAGTTCTTATTGACAGTCATGCAATGCATCTAGACTTCTAAAATTGAAACATCACTTTACCTTTCTTTTGTATGTGCCAAAATAATATGATTATTTTAAAGAGAGGATTAGTTACAGATATATTTGACAATTATGAAGAGCCACGTCTGAATTTGTTTGCATAGTAAGATTGAATCTTCAGTTACTGGATAAAATATTTTTGGTCCAAAAGATCTACAGATCTCACCATAACTTTAACCTAAAGAAAATGTGTTATTCCCTCCGTATTATACACACTAAAAGAAGGATTTTGTTAAATTGATTGGAGCAAATAACAACATTGGTTAAAACTGTAATTTTTCATGAGGATTATTCATTTGATTCCATGATTAAGATGAAAGTAATCTTGTACCATCGAAGTAAAAGCAAAGAACTGTGGGTACTAGAGATCTGAAATCAAAACAGAAAATGCTGGAGTAACTAAGCAAGTCTGCAGTATCTGTGAGAAAAAACAGTTAATGTTTTGTTTCCAATAAGACATCTTCAAATGGAAGTGGGCTAGAAAATGATAGTTTCTATGCTGTTGAAAAGGCATGGAAGAAGAATAAATGGTGAAAGTAAGAGCAAAAGATAAAGGGAGCACTAATGGTAGTAAAGGAGCAATATCGAGCAGAATAGGTGATAATGGAACAAAAACAGAAATTGCTGGAACAGCTAAGCAGGTCTGGCAGCATCTGTGGAGAGAAGTCAAGTTAATGTTTCGGTTCGAGTGACCCTTCCTCAGAACCGTACCTCAGTTTGACATTATTTTTAGTGTTAATGGTTTGTGTGAATAGTAGAAAATAGGTCACCTGTGCTGACAGTAAATCTGTGCAGTGAAGGAGGGGTATGGGTTGGTAATTAAGATGGAGCACAATGTTTAATTCACTGTTAAGTCCTGAAGTCCATAAATGGCCTAAGCAGAAAATGAAGTTCCGCTCCTTTGGCTTCCATTGGGTTTTGCTGGAGCTCTGTAGCAACCCAATGACAGAGATCTTAGTTTGAGAATAAGAAGGTTTATTTAAATAGCATGGAAATGGAAGATCAGTGTAATTCTTATGAACAAACTGGAGGTGTTCCAAAAGGCGGTGACCCGGTCTGCATTTAGTATTGCTAATTTAGAGTTACAGCTGCTTCACCTGAAAGCTGTGTGTGGGGCCTTGGACAGTGAAAAGAGAGGAAGTAAGAGGACCTTTAGTGATTGCAGGGGAAGGTACCACGGGGCTGTGAGGAGATGTTAAGAGAGACTGAAGAGTAAACTATGTTGTCACTGAGGGAACGGTCTTTGTGGAATGTTAACAAGAGAGGGGAGATGTGTTTGGTTGTAGCATCCTGCTAGAGGTGGCAGTAAAGGTGGAGAATGAACTTTTGAATGCAGGGATTGGCAGGGTGGAAATTAAGGACAAGAGGAACCCTATCATTGTTCGGGGACGGAGGGAAGGGGTGAGGGCAGAAGTGCTAGATATGTGTTAGGCACATCTGAGGGTCCTGTCAACAATGGTTTGGGGAAGTCCTCGGTAGAAAAAAAGAGGAAGACATGTCAGAAGCACTGCTATGGAAGATGGCATCATTGGAACAGAGACAGAGAATCTGGGAGAATGACATAGGGTCCTTAAACAAAGCAGAGTGTACAGCCAATTGAAAAAAGAACACTTGAAATTAAATTGCATTTGAGTTGACCCACATGCCAATGTATATGTATGAATCTGTATTATGATCCAGTGAGG